ATGCCAAAGCCATTCCAACTCGGAGTCAGTCGGCTAAAGCAACAGCGGAGGCTTTGCAGGGATTTATTGAACATTACGGAATTCCGCGGAGATTACATTCCGACCAAGGAGCTAACTTCGAGGGGAAAGTAATAGAAAGTTTGTGCGAAACATTTCATATTACTAAATCGAGAACGACACCATACCATCCTAGCGGAAATGGAATGTGCGAACGTTTCAACAGAACCCTGATCGACATGTTAGGCACATTGGAACCGCATCAAAAGAAAGACTGGAAGAGCTTTGTGGGTTCGCTCACATATGCGTACAACTGTACACGGCATAAGACAACGGGTTATTCGCCATTTCAGCTGATGTTTGGACGACAGCCACGATTGCCCGTTGATCTATTGTGTGGAGTAAACGAGGAAATTACCCCAACTAGCATGCCGGATTATGTCAAAAACATGAGGAACCGGATGTCACATTCGTTCAGCTTAGCGAGTAAGAAGGCTCGGGAATCGCAGAGTCGTCAGAAGGCAGGCTACGATCTACGTAGTAGAGAAGCCGTTTTGGAACCGGGTGACCGCGTTCTTGTTAAGGTACTTGCCTTTGAGGGACGTCACAAGCTAGCGGATCGCTGGGAGCCTGACGTATACATCGTACAGAGTCAACCCAACATTGACATTCCGGTATACACCATACTTCGAGAGAGTGGTGAAGGAAAGAGTAGAACTCTTCACAGAAACCATCTACTTCCAATTGGAACTATACCGGTGGAAGTGGATACGGTACCCATTGCACATCCACCTCGGCCGGTACCTCGTGTTAGGAGGTCGAGGATGGATAGTGGTCCGCATCATCGGAAGTCTGTGGCTGAGCCTGTTGTATCACCGCCTGTAAGTGACAGCAACGAGAGCTCGGATGAGGAATTTGTGGGTATGAACGTTCCTACTAACGTTCAACGGCCTCCCACACAGGACAAGGTGCAGCCGAGCAAGGACATGACACCCGTACCTGGACCTCAGATCGACTTCAGTGATGAGGAGACATCGGAATCGGAACCGGAGGATGAACCTGCAGCTGCAGTACAGGGGAATACTACTTCGCCTGATCCGGAGATTCCAATACCCCGACGATCGACAAGGAACAAACGACCGCCTAATTGGATGACATCAGGCGAGTTTGTTTGTTCACAACAACCTGCTGGAGCGGAATGGAAGATGAAAGCCATGTTTCTGATGGACATAACATCTACAGCATCCTTCGGAGATATGCCAGCATCAGCCCAACAGGCATTGTTAAATATTTTAACTGGTTGAGTATGTGTGCCATTTTACGTAACGTTATTTGAACGTTAATATGCATTTGTATATGTAGTATGTATGTGTAAATGGAAACCCCATGGAAGATGAGGACATCTTTCATTTAAGCGGGGGAATACCTGATGAATTGGGGAGTTAATATATATTTTTTTGTTTTTTCCTCAGTTGCAGATTTTATATTTGAATTGTGTGTAAATATTTTGCATGGACTTTTGTTATATTGTTTTATGTTTTATTTACATTATTTCCTGATCATGTAGATGAGGACATCTTCCATCTAAGGAGGGGAGAATGTAGTAGTGTCATTATTTGTCATTATTACTTTTAATATATTTGTGGTATTTAGCTATACGCGTTCGTATGTAACGGAAATCAGCCTTCCGTGTAATTTTGTACGTCACGCATTGCGGCAAAACTTTTAGCGCGCGCGCGGAAATAGCACGCGTAAATGCGAGTAAGGTACTGAGCGGATGTGATGTAATGTGTTGTAAACCTGTTTGTCCAGTACGTATTGTCTATGTATAGAATACCTAGTGTTGAATGTAGGGTAATTTACCTGGTGCACTGGTCACTTTGAACAGAGCGGCCAGAGCGAGCACAGCGAACATTTGTACACCTATATCTTTACCTAGCCAGCATAGGAATTAAAAGAGGTAGCGGGCACTAGAGCCAAAAGCAAATAATGTAAGTACTCGCGTATAAATATAAGTTTAATTCATTATAGTATCTATTCAATAATATATTTAATTAACGTAATATTTTTGTTAAAAGTAAAGTTAATATTTTGAAAGTCTTTGTAAATTTAGAAATCGGGCGTGGTCAATTTAGTAGACAAGTGATTTCGAAGAAGCAAGTTTTTAATATATATTGTTTCCTTTTATAGCTTACATTGAACGAGTAAGACTGAGGACTCGGCGGACTTTGTCCGAGAAAACCCTCTTCACATTGAAGAGGTGGGTATTTTAATATATTTGTAATTATGCTGTATTTCTATATAATATATAGATTGAATGTAACAGTTGTAAAACGTATTCCACTATTGTTACTTATGTAACTGGCTACGGCCAGGTAGTTGTTTGACATGTCTTAGCTTATGTGATTGTATAAATGTTATATGTGTAGTAATATGATGTATTTCATGTTACAGGGTTTTTACTTACGTAATAAATTAACTGAGAAAAGAACCCAGGAGTTGTCGTATATCCACGATAAAAGACGACTATTACATATACATATTATGAAGAAAACAGAAAATAATTTGTCGATGGAGCTGCATGTATAAACATTTGATGGGATTAAATTACCGCACCCAACAGATACAGGCCAGAAAAGTCCATTATATCACACAAGGCCATCCACTGATGAGTTTGGAAATTCAATCCCACCAAATAGTTTAATTTATGCATATTAAACACAGGTTAGATATATAATTAACATGTTGTAAAGCTTTTTATTCTTATTTATGTAGTTGTTTCCCAATATTTTTTAATAAAATAGTGTAACTGGTCTTCCCCCCCCCCT